AATTTTGACATTTTATAAAAATTAAGAATATGTCAAAATGACATTGACATTTCAAACCGGAAGTTGCTTATATCTCGAGTAATATTGGGATTAAACGTATCATGTTTGGACTCATTTTAAAGGATTTTTCACGACGATTACAAATATGTCAAAACTGACGTTGACATTCTTAACCGGAAGTTGACCATAACTTCATTAATATTGAAGATAAATATGTCGTGTTTGTACTCATTTTAAAGGATTTTTAATGAAGATTACAAAAGTTATCATGTAATAGAAGTTTTATAACTGAAGTTAATCTAGTATTAGTCACTTTTCCGCACTTCCTTTTTATTTTTAGCGTGTTTTTTGGGTCATTTCACATTGATTAAAATAAATCGTCTAAAACCGCTTAAATTTTAACCTGTAACTTGTATCACTTCGTCCTTAATTTCATTTTACAAATTTTTAAACTTTAATTTTGTAAATTAGTAACTAATAATCTGATTTCGACATTGATATGTGATTTTTTTTAACAAAACAAAAGGAAATATTAAGAAACTTGTTTGTAAAATGGATAAGATGAGAGATGTTAATCTATTTGTAGAGTCTCTGAAGATGGCCAAGGGCCGAAACTGGTTAGACTTAAATTCTATATAAAATAAAAACCAGTTTAAAAATACAAAATCAAACTCTAGATTATTTTCTTCAAAATTTTTTACACAAATCGTCATCATTTTGTCTCTAGTTTTAGTGATTAAATTCAAGTGATGCAGAACGCGGTCTAAATATTATTGATTATTATGATCATTCTTATAATAAAAATTCAGCCACTCAATATTTTTTTAAACATCGATGTATCGGTATAAAACAACGATGTTTTCAACATCGATGTTTTACTTTTCGAAAACATCGATGTTTTTATGGGCGATATTGCATCCCTAATGACATTTTGACATTTCTATTAATAATATATTTTATCAGAAAGAAATCGTAAATATTGCGTTAAATAGATAAATACCCAAATTGTGAATTAGTTTATTTTAAAGTTGTAACTAAAATAAATTTATAGATGTACTTTAAAAAGTTAAACCAAGAAAATTAAAAAAATTGCAACTACGAAGAGATTACTATTACAATTAATTAAGAATTAATTTATTGCATATAAAAATAATTTAACTAAAACGAACCAGAAAGAATAAACTTACCACTTTCTATTGAAACAACCGTAACGAAAAGTGAGGTTAAAACACCCAAACACATAAAATTTCGTAACCAAATCATTTCGAATCACTTTCGATCGGTAAATCGTGATATTCCAATCAACAATTTCACCATTAGATCGTTTAAAATGGTTAAATTCTTTAATTACGCTTAAAAGAAAACGAATGTAAAAGTGACGTTAAAACGTAAACACGAGTAGTAGGTATGTGGTTTCGGTGATGTCCGCTAGAAAGCAGTAGATGCGTTTACCGTCATGGCCACGGGACGATCAATGAACGGTCGGTAATAGTAAATAGTAGTGTGCGCGTAAAAAATCCTTCTTCTGATGGTTTTTTAAAAAGTTTATTGTAAAGATGGTTTGAGTGGTATTAAAAGCGGTGTCGAGTCTCCGTGTTCGGATAAAAAAAAATTCAAAAATGGGGAAAGATCAGGATTTATTAGAAGCTGCGAGAAATGGAAACGTTGCCGTTGTTGAGAAGATATTGGGCCAAAGGGCCAAGAGGAGTGGTCCATTGGCAAGGTGGGTGTTAGTACAAATCAGCTGTGAATTAAAAAAGGATTTTCGAAAACAGCACACTCGTTAAATGGGTTAGGTTATAAAGATATTTTTTTATTAATCGCACAATATTCGATGTTTATAGGTTAATTATTGCGTACGTAAACAATTGAAACATATCTTTTTGTTTTAAAAGTTGACTCATTTGTTTTTTAAATTAACCACAGCCATATGTGATTCATCTAAACGTTCGTTTATAATTGACCAAATGAATTAATTTAAAATATATATGTGACCTTTAAATGTGATTTGTTATTAATAAGGAAGGAAATTCTAAATTGATTAACCACAAAACAACAAATTTTAATCTATATATGTATAATAATATAACAATGATAAGGCTCTTATCTTTATTATGCAATTTTTTGTATTTTCTCTTTTATCTTATTTTTATTTTTCCTTATATACAGGAGTACCTATAGAAATTACCCAAAAAAATTATAATATGTACTAATAAAAATTAATGTGAATTTATTTTTGTATTAAATTTAAGTTGGTATTATTTCCATATGACAATTATGGTGAAAAAATTTTGACTTATATAAGATATATTTTACCTTAATAAAATTTTGTTGTAGCGCGTTCAGAAAAACCAGTTTACCTGCGATGATTCACAAACACTTCAACTTTCCAACCTTGATGGTATAAGATGTAAAGATTTAATTAAAAATCACTTTTTATGACTTCTAAGGTTGCAACGAGGTTGTATTTAAAATGAAAAGTACTTTAAAGAGTTTCAAATTTTTTTAAATTTCTAACGGTGCAATGTAAAAAATAAATTATTATTAATTTAGGGATTCTTCTGCGCATGTGGACTACCGTAACGAAACTGGCAGTTAACCATTAACGGGGTTTATATGAAGGGTTTATTGCCTAAACTTCATAACCCACTAAACTAAACTTTTCACAATATCAGCTTTCAAATGAAAAAGTTACAATTTCTGTGATTTGTAGAACGTAATAGTGTTGGAAAAGTCTATTAAAGTATGTATTTCGAAAAACTGCTATTAATAAAAAAAAGTCAAATATAAAATAGAATAATGTTACTCAAAAAATTGAGCAAATATTTTTTTTCATTTTCAAGAAAAAGGGGTGTTCTCACCTGGAGACAGTTGGCAGTTTAAGTATGATTTCAGCAAAACAGTTGCGTTCAACGCGAAGTGTGTTTGTGCACAATTCACATCTTCAGCGACCTTAACCGACCCATACACTGTGATGCAAAACTGTCACATTTGCACGCAGTGTAGATAGATAGCTTTTTCCTAGTCAGATACTGTCTGCCTAGGCAAATAGTAGTTCGTTACAGTTTTATCATTAAATGTCTAGGCAAACACTACGCTTACTTAGTTATTATACCTCTCTACGCTTGTTTTAGGCAAATACCATTTTTTCGATACTACAATGCGAGTAGGTACCTGTTCTCAATAAAATAAAGTAGTTCCTATCGTTAACAACCTACTTTTCTTAAATTAAAGTCACTAATGAGTGTCAAACGAGTCAAATTATTTACGTATCATTTTCAAAAAACGCATAACAGTTTCATATACTATTAAGTTTAATAAAAATACAAACAAACGATTTATTTCTTGAAGACATAAATACTAAATACAAATATTTACTTGTTTTGACAATTGTTGGTGAAATGGCATCTACTATAGCACATCATTTTTGTACTGCACTGATATTTCGAAGGCTGGCACTGGCATTTTGACATTCCTTGCCCAGAAAACAGTGACTGTGAAGTGCAAGCCTCTCTTAAAGAAATAAAGCATTCTTGGGGTTGGGTTGGGTGGGTTTAGATAAGTCTTATCACTTTACTTGATGACGTTCCGTTGGAAACACGCCGTGAGTTATCGTTCATATATGAAGATACTCCACCACATTTCATCCTTGTTGCTAAGGAGTACATAAATAATACTTTTCTGAATCATTGGATTGGCAGAGGTGGGCAAGTTGTGTGGCACCTACATTCTCCGCATTGCAATCCGATAATTTTTTTTATACATGTGAAGTTTTCACCGATTCTACTTTAGAAGATCTACGCGACCGAATCAGTCATAGTTTTCGTGTGCTCCGAGATAGCCCCGGAATTCTTGAGCGAGTTCAACAATTAATGATGCCAAGTCTGTATTGCTGACGAAGAAGGACATTTTGAGCATTTACTCTAACGTCTACACTTACCATAACACTTACCACTTACCATAACAAAATCCTAAATAAACGATGTGAAATTTGTTTGTTGTTTTAATAAAAATTTTTACCGATTAATCACAATTTTGGAATTCGTGTGTAACTTTTAAGGAAGCATTTCTAGACACATGTTTGGTCATGCAATTCAGATACTCTGTATAGAGGCCGTAGGAATAGTACGTTGGTGTAATATTCAAAAGCAAAAGGCGAATTTCCATATGTGTGGATATGGTGTGGACCAAATGGATCAATGTGTTTGGTCATGCAATTCAGATACTCTCTGTATAGAGGCCGTAGGAATAGTACGTTGGTGTAATATTCAAAAGCAAAAGGCGAATTTCGATATGTGTGGATATGGTGTGGACCAAATGGATCAATGTGTTAGTCTATGTAGCCTATATAGTGTCCAGTAGAGGAAAAAAGTGGTGGTAGCCAATCATTACATTATGTTTGGATTTAGCAGTTAGTAATGCTTGATGGCTACGCGTTTTATTACGCAAAGGTTATAATAAATCTCCAATGAACAATTGTCATTCAGAGTGGACATTGCACGGACGTATCTAAAACCTACTACATCGCGACAACCTCGCTTTTCATTAGCAGTAATTGAACGCTTGACAAACCAATTGCGAAATTGGATTGACGGAAATGATGTTTCACGGAAACCAGTTTTTAACCAGTCACCAGTCGATTCGCATGTCGGATCGCCTACAGATTTAAGTTGGTCATCTACCGAATCACTTGGCATGTAGGAAAGTCCTCGTATTTTCATAAAGTTAAGCTGCTTTATTGATGAATTTCTCAGCCACAGTTTCTCGTATGCGAATTGGTCCATTTAAAACAGCGAACTTCCCGCACTCCATTCCAAAAGCACATTCAGCTGTTTTTGTTCTTCGACTCCATGTATAATTGAATCATCTTTTCATGTTATTCAATATCCTTGACGCGTAGGGTTTCATCAGATATCGTGTCAACCGTAATAGGAAAAGGGACTATCATTTGCATAGTATTTTAGTGAAGGGGAAGGGATTCCAAGTCCATCATTTTGAATCCAATATTTCATTGCTGATGCGCAAAATATGCCCCCATCACTGTTTGTTCCAGCATAAACTATTTCAAACCTTGTAAAAGTACCATCGACATCGCAGCAAGGCATTAGTATTATTGAATGAAATGGTTTGTAGTTGAAATTGGTAGAACCAGTGTTGCGAAATTTCTCTATACGCACATGTTTTCCATCAATGGCACCTATGTAGTTCTCTAGATTTCAGAGGGAATCTGCATCCATGACTAAACTGAATAAACTAAAATGTATCAAACAGGTTTTGATAGCTGATAAGTAGCTTCGTGTGTGGAGCCTGGTCACTAATTTGGATCATTAACCAGTTACTGACTCATGTAACGGGTTAGTGATCCAAGTTTAGTTTCTTTTCACTAGTTTCCGATGCAGATCGCCTAAAGGGGCTCATACACAGTGATGCAAAACTGAAACATGTTTGCATGTGAGCAAATGTGAAACGATCCAAATTTACATGTCAGTTTTAGTACTACTTTCATAGTCAGTTGCGACTGAAAGGTGCTTGTTAACTATAATGAATGTAATACGGCAACATGATTTATATTTAATTGCTATTGCTATCGCAATAGTAGTGAAGAAGAAGGAAAGGATGAGATCAAAATGGGTAAAATATTGACTGAAAAACCGAAAACAGTATTTTCACACGAATTTACTGTAGGAATTATTTGCGCATGGATGCAATAAATGTCCGACAACGTTTAAGGTACTTTATTAATGATGGGCGCCTGCCTTGGCAACATGATCGTGTTACATATCAAGAAGAACGGAAATGTTAATTTTGAAAATGCACTTACACGACACTGTTTCGTTATCATGCATAGTGTCTTTATGTATCTTAACTAGTGGTGGAACGGATATTCGGTATCCTTCCATTTTTTAAATCCGGCCGGATACCCGATAGTTAACACGTATCCGGCTTTGGCCGGATATTAAAAACCTATTACTTAGTACTCTACCATTCACAGGAATTAGTATTTCTTTTAGGTGTGGGACACTGTAGATAATAATCAAGTTCAATCCCAATAGGACTTTTTTCATTTAATACAACTTTATTTATATCAGATTTGTCTTTAGCAACCTCATTGTAACAATCCCAATACGATATATAAAATCTCTTGTTGCAGTTTCGTATAGTTTCCATAATGGCCGGATAGATATGCCGGATAACCGGATATCCGGCCGCGGGAATGCCGAATATCCGGTATCCGGCTTTTCGCAAAATCACTATTTGATATTTTCTTAAAAACTTCCACTAGCAGCTGGTAACTCTCATCCTTTTTATTTTTATCCATATATTCACTACTTTTCACTTTCCAAAGTCAAGAAGTACTTTTCACTTCTTTAGTATATACTTATAAATTCACACCATAGCCTCTTCTTAATTACGAACAGCCATTTCGTAAACAAACTTGAATAATTCGTTTGCGAAGATCAATTTAAAACTGAGAAGAATGACATGAACTGTCTCTACGCGTACAAGCTTGCACACGACGGGCCGTGCAAAATCAAGCTCAGCCAGATCTTATCGTTCCATGTCTAGACCTGACAGCGCCATCAGTTTTGGGGCATAGACGATTACATTTGCTCGTGTGTATTAGAGTCGCAGGCTTGGGCCAAATGGTTGTTTCAGGTAAATAGCTTTTTCGTAGTCAGTTACTATCTGCCTAGGCAAATAGTCTTTTTCTATTTATTTCAG